CAAGATACGGATCTTCTAAATCCGTCTTTCTTCTTCACTTTTTACACAATGGCAGCAGATTCACCCCCAGAGCCAGCAAATTCGCCAACTCCACAGACAGAGTCGTCACTTAAGATCCCTGAAGCTCGCGATGGCTTTTATGGGTACACTGAGGAGAAGAATTTTCAACATGTACGTTCAATAACTTGGCCCTCTCAGAATTCTATTCAGTACATTGTCTGCGTTCATCATATCATGATTTTTAAACAACCTCCAGATAGAAGGGAAGTATTGGGCTCAGAGGCGTAGCTCCGATGCACCGTCGGATAGATCGTTTTCTGGAAACTTCAAGCTCACACCCTTGCAACCTTCTGTGTCTGAAGCCAGTGCCAGTGCACCTCCCCCAGAATCCGCTCTAGACGTTGAAGACGAATCCGTTGCTCCGTCTGAAGCACCCACGTCCGGTATGTCATCTCTGAATGAAGATGAGCTGTAAATTTCATGAGCGATAATAGATCTTCACATAAACAGCGAATACGCCGCTTTATTCCAGTCTTTCCAAAAATGTCTGGACTTACGCGACAAATACATGGAAAAGTCTCTCCAAAGGCTTGGTGATAATCCCAAAGATTACGATGGCCAGACGTTGAAAGATCCCACCAGAAAGTCATCCAGGCAACCCGAACCATGGAAGATATATCCACCCCCTCCACCCCCTCATTGGCATTGGACAGCACCGGACAAAGTCGTCAATACCGAAGACATCCAACCCCCGGAATTTCATTTCGAAGATTGTCCCATTCCTGACGAACATCCGTGGTCATTCCAGATCGATGATCGAGGCGTTTTCCAAGTTTATGACGACAACCAAATCGTCGATTCCGAAACGGAGAAGAAGCCTCTTTTCGATGTACCTAGCATTCGGGAATATTTCGTCGACCTAGAATATATCCTTGAAGTCATCGCTGACGGACCTACGAAAAGCTTCGCTTTCCGCAGACTCAAATATCTTGCCAGCAAATTCGAGATGTATCATCTATTAAACGAAACTCAAGAAACCGCAGATATGAAAGTGAGTATCATCCGCGTTGGCGTTGGTCATCCGGTTTCTCATCTCTGAATTATATAGCGTGTACCTCATAGGTAAGCACCAAGTTTTATTTCGGTAACTAGCTGACCATGATTTGCAGAGATTTTTATAATGTCCGAAAGGTCGACACTCACGTGCACCACTCCAGCAGCATGAACCAGAAACATCTGCTGCGTTTTATAAAGTCAAAGATGAAGCGCCAGCCGAAAGTTTGTCCCTTTTGATCTGCCAATTATCCCGATCGATTCTAAGTCGTACTCTAGGATGTTGTGATTTTTCGCGACGGCACCTACCTGACTCTTGAGCAGGTTTTCGAGAGCTTAAACTTGACCGCATACGATCTTTCT